TAACAATAAGTAATAATAGAATTAAATAAATAACTTATAACTTACGAACTAAAATAAATTACAAAATAATTTTTTTAAATAATGAATTTGGTTAGTTTAAAATATATAAATAATAGATATAATAGATATATAGACATCTATAACTTACGCCCTAGTATTATAATTAATTATTAGTTAAATATAAATATAATATAAAAATATTTACTGTAAATTAAATATATCACTTACAATCTAGTTGTTTAAATTAAGAATATAATTAGTTGAGTTATATAAAATATTAAGCAAAATAAATATTATATTGTAACTTACCATCTGTAATACAATTAATTATTAATAATTATAAATAAAAAATTTAGTTATTTGAATATTATGTAGAATAAACAAAGTAAAGAATTAAAAATTTAAATAACTAATAACTTACTGACTATAGTATTATTAATCATTAAATGAATTATTTAATTACATGAAGTAATAAAAATGATGAGTAATTTATCATTATTCAATTATAAGATAACCTATTAACTTACGAGCTATATTTGTATATTATATAAGGTATAATTATAGATAATATTTAAATGTATTTACAAATAAAAATTTAGTATTTTAGCATGTTTAATATACCTTTAGATTCCTCAAATTCCTCAGAGCTACTTCCTTCAAATTCTTCAGAGCCAACTCCTTCAAATTCTTCAGAACTGCTTCCTTCAAATTCAATATTGCCAAAAACCAGTTTTATTATATTGTAAATTTATTTAAAAATATTAGAATTCTAACTGTATTAAATGTTTATATTATATATGATTATTACCTCTATAAGCCATTACTATATAATTATATTAAAATTCTTTCTGACTGGAAAAGATAATGTAAATATCTTTGTTTTCTTTATTTTATTATTAAACGCCTTTATTAGTATAGGTATATATGGTAATAATATTTATGCAAAATGCATTATGCTCAAAAGCATTGATCATAAGTACAAGTATGTATAACAAACAAATTTTGCATATATGTCTAAAACGTATGTCAATTATCAAAGTCATCAAGCCACATTGTTGCACAGCAAAATTCATAAAACAAATAAAACAAAAAAAATTTCTTAATACGTAAGGCAATACGAAGTTATAAATTCAGTTTTCATATTCTGGTCAGGTCAGTAAATTACGTAAATTACAAATTCAAATTTTTATTTTTTTTTTATATTAAAATGTAATTGGCGACCCCTGATTATGTAATAAATTTAATATTTTCTGATTTGCTACACAAACATGATCATCGCGTCATTTGATAAATGTTTGTTTTTTTTTATTGCAGTGCTATTTCGACTTGAATATGACTTTATTTTTTTGGTTTTTCCATTATTTTGTTGTATTTAAAAAAGTCTTAAAATCTTAACCGGTTAATTAACCGGTTAAAACTCGATCCTAGTCCGCATTAAAATTCGGCCAGGATTAGCATCAAATATATTTTTTAATCCCGGCCAAAATTAGGCCAGACCAAAACTCTAACTATCGAAACGAAACTCTAGCTGAAAGACGAAATTCAGGCCAAAATTTCTGGCCGGCACTATGGATTTCGACCCGCATTATGAATTTTATATAACACAAAAATTTCACCACTTGGTCCGAATGGTCCGTTGATATCTTACCTAGTGGCTAAACTTTTTTCCGAAGTCCCGTGATTTATAATTCTGGCCGGCACTGTAAATTTGGCCAGAATTACAAATATTTTCAGCATTTTAACCGGTTAATTAACCGGTTAAGCTTAACCAGTTCCAACCTCTAATTTAATTACTCTTTACTTTATTACTAACGCTAACTTTATTTTTTTCCTGAAATAATGGGATGGCTTCTTTTTATTTGAGGTATTTCTTTCTTGTTTTATTACTTTTTATATGTTTCTTGCTTTTATTACTTTTTCACTTTATTTTGAAATAATACTAATCAGTCTTTTCTTTATTCCTTTTTTTATGAGTGGTGTTCTTGATTGTTTTTTCTTCACTTTTTTTCGTCTTCTATCATTCTTTTCACTTCTTTTTTGCCCTTTATTTTTTTATTTCCTTCTCCTTTTTACTTCTTTTTTATTCTCCATCATCCTTTATTTTTTTTATTTTTCATTATTATTCTCTCTTACTTTTCTTCCCCTATCACCCTTTACACTTCCTTCTCACTTCCCTTTGTTCATCATCATCCTTTTTACTTCTTTTTCGTCTCCTATCATCCTTCCTTTTTGTTTACTATTTTCTTTCTCACTTTTTTTTCATCTTCTATCACCCTTTTCACTTCTTTTTTATTTCCCTTTCACTTTCCTTTCACCTTATCATCTTTTTACACTTCCTTTTATCCTTTTTACACTTTTTTTCATTACTTTTCTTTTCATCCCATCCACATCATTTCTTTTTGTTTCCTTTTTTTCTTTCACTATTATTAACGTTATATCTTCTTATTTCCTTTTTTGCTTTTTATTGGCATTTTTCTCATTTTATCATTGCAATTTTTCTTTTTTTTATCACTATTTATTTCTTACCATTATTGTTAAGTTTCTCAAAATAAATTCGTTAATTTTTATTTCTCTAATCAATGAAACATAACCAATAAAATAATTTTTAAATCCACAAGTGTATAATTTTATAGTTTTAATATTGTATTTAACAAATAAAATTTTACCGCAAATAAAATATTCTTTGTGAAATAAAAAAATTAACTGATCAAAATTGAAAAATCAGCCAATTAAAATTTTTATTAAGTCACTGACGTGATAGGGACAGTTGCCAAATAATGTTACCTTTAAGATAATTATCCAATAAAAATAGTTTATATTTTATAATATCATGTGATAACTGCATGTATTACATGAAATCAATATCATCGATGTCATGAATTGAGGCGGATACATATTGCTTTAAAGAAAATTTCTCGTTCTTATTTATTTTATTAATTTTTATTTTTAAAAAATCATTATTATTAAGGTCATAATATTAACTTCCAAATCAGTACTATCCTAATATAATTTACTCTTTAAGACATAGTTTAACAGAATTTGAATATAATAAATGATTAAATTTTGAATTTTAAAAAAAAATATTGAAATTTAGATAATATGACAAAATTGAATTTAATTTAAAAACAAGTTGCCTTGATTTCTGATGAAAAAAAAAAAAAATCCAAGTTCTCAAGCGATTATGCATTTTATTTATTTTATATTTTAATAAAAAAAACTTAGATAACACATAATTTTTGCCATTTTTTGGTATATTACTTAATCCATTAATATTTACGCGGTTTATTATGTTTTATTCCTTTGTATAAAATATTAAAATAAGTATGCTAGAAACTGGAAAAGTATATTAACAAAATTTATTTAAAATATTAAAACATAATATTATATAATATGATCACTTTTTACAAAATTTTATTACTTTGAAATATTAACATTGTAAGAAAATTGGTTCGTGAATTTTTCGAAAGTTAAGAGTAATCGTAATTCTATCAAGAGAGTGAAGAGATACAGTATAGTCAATTAAGAAAGTTGCATATTCAAGTTTCACATCGAAATCGATCATCAAAGAAGACTTATCAAGATTGACAGATACTTTGCATTGTTTTTGTTTTTGGTCGGGTATAAACCTTGTTTGATTCTAGTTTTATTAATGTATAATGCATTAAAGGTTATATAAGTCAATATGATTGTGTACGTTTTATAATCTATAATCGATTATAAAAAATATTAAAAAAATTTTTTGGCTGTAGATTGTACCAATTTGTTTTTATTCATATAACTAGTTGCATGAAGCCATATTTAATTAATTTTATTATTAAAACATTAATAAAAAAATCCATTTGTTAAAATTAGAGTTTGGAGAATATGTGACCGAAATTTCATCATTTTTGGATTGCATCATTAATTTTAATCGATTAACCGATTTTTGAGATGCCCAAACTGGATAACCATATTAATCATCTATTAATGTTAATCGGTTCAAACTTCTAAAATAAAAAGCCAATACTTTCTATTATAAAGAACGTATCAAAGAATAATTTTTTATTTCGCAATAATCTACAATTTATTTAGAATCATTCTTATATAACGTACATACAAAATAATTTATTAAGCCACTAGTGGGTCTGTGGGTGTTTTCTAACGTAATAAAGATGTCACAGAAAAGTAATTTTTACGTTAAACTTAGTTATTCACCATAATACTTATTAATATTTTAGATAATTTAATATAATATGTTATCTATATTCATATTTGGAGATTAACATTGTAGTAAATTTTAAAAATTTTTTTTTTTTTTTATTAAATAAATTGAGTTTCAGTTTACTATATTTCCACCAAAATGTTCCAAAATAACTGAATAATAAAAAATATCCTCAAGTTCAAGATAAAATTATATCTGATATGCTTTTTTTTTATATACTAAATATTTTCAATTAAAGTAAATGGGTTTTAATTTCCTTCATCTATAACAAAAAAAAATAGCTTAATTAAAATTTAATAAATCAAAAAATCACATACAAAGAAATTACCTTTAGAATTAATATCAAGTTTAGTAAAATCCATTTTTAAGGAAACTGTAAAATAAAAGAATAATTATTATTACTCTAAATAGATTTAAATAATTATTTTTAATTAAAATTACCTGAATATTCTAAATCATCATTGTCCACATTTTTGGATTCTGGAAGATTTTTAAAATCCAAAAGTCTACTTGTATAAACTGCTTGAGGATGTGTTGTATATAAGAGATTACTGGTAGATGATGATGGTGATTGAACTATTGAAGACAATAACTTTTTATTAATATCATCTGTTTCTTTAACTTGTCCATAAATTACAGAATCCACTTTAAAGACATCATTATATAATTTATATGTTAATTCTTGCAATTCACCCGCATTAGGTCGTTTTAAAGGGTCAGCATCCCAACATTGATTAATGATGTCAAAAATTAATTGAGGAATTTTATAATTGGATTTTGGCCTCAGCCCATTGCAAATTTTCATTGTTAAGAATTCATCATGAGCCATATCATAATAAGGAGGGAAACCTGTACAAATTTCATATGCAATAATTCCATATCCATAAATGTCACTTGCTTGTGTATATTCTTTTCCTCTTAAAACTTCTGGTGCTACATAAGGTAATACTCCATATATTTCTTTATTACTATTTTGAGAGGATTTGGCATTTGCTGGTTGACATAATCCTAAATCGGTAATAAAAGCTTTTTGACCAAAATTACTTAATATATTCCCACAATGAAAATCATGATGGATTAATCCTTTATTATGAATATCTTTAAGACCATTTGCAATACTTTGTAAACTCCACAATTTTTGGTCCCAACTCAGCGAAATGAAATTATTATTTAAATGTTGTCTTAAATTACCATCTTTTAATTCCATTACCATCATAAAATTATTTGTTTTTGGATCTTTGGTAATACCAAAACAACGAACTGTCCAACCAGAAGAATATACTAAAATATTTGATTCAATCTTAAAATAAAATTATAGTTAGTTTAATATTTATAAAGACTAATGAAGATTCATAAGAAAATATCTTACTTCTTTTAAAAAATCTGCTGTAATTTCTTGTGAATTATATAAACATTTTAAAGCAACTTTTGTTTCACCTTTTCTTTTCCATTGATCATCATATCCACGAATATCTCCATCTTTCCAAACTGCTTTAAAAGTAGTTCCAAATCCCCCTTTTGCTAAATATTCAACATCTTCAAATTTATCATATTCAATCCACTCTACGATTTGATCTACATGTTTAGCTTTTAATTGTACTTTTTTAATAAATTCATCAATATCATGATTTCCACTTGTCCAATTTTTGAAATTTTGTTTAAAATGTTGTAAAATACATGGCCAACAACTATAATAACTAGTATTAGGCTGCTTACATTCTTTACATAAACCATGTTCTTTATAAAGTTCTTTTAATTTTTCGTCTGTTATTAGTTTATCAATTAATGAATTTTGTTCTTTAGTCAAATTCCAATTGACAAAATCTTTTATTCGTTCAAATACATCATCACTTAGTTTAATTTTATCCATTTTTAATAAATAATTGATTAAGTTATTAATTCGTATGTAAAAACTACAAAATAATAATAACAATAAAGAAAAGAAAAAAAGAATGAAAAAAAATAGGGGTGAAACAAAAATAATTCACTGAAACATTATTTTATATTGCAATGATCTCAAGATTTAAAATACACACAATAATCTGGATCGACAAATAAATTTAATTTTGATGCTTGCCATATGCGGTTTTTATTTTAATTCCATAATAGGTAACGTGAGTTTAAGTTAAACTTGATTATTACTAGTCAAAAGAGAATTTGGAAATTTGAGAAAGAAATCATTAATTTTGTGGAAATATCGTATTACCAAATCCGAAAATAATTTGTGAATACAAAAAGTAAAAAAAAAAAAAAAATTTATAATATATTAAAACAAATTATTCTGATTATTTATTAGTCCGAAGTGTAACGAAGGAGTAAGGTATATATACTGTCACGTGACGAAGCACTTCAGATTTAATAACGGTTTCCGTATCCTAGTTTGTTAAAACAAATATTTACAGAATCTTAGTTATGACTTTAAATTTTCATTTTGTAAGGATCAATAAATAAATAAATCACATCTTTAATAACATGTGGATTTTAATATTTAAATAAATTGTTGATAGACCTTTATTTGGAATTCGAACTTTAATATAAAATATTATATTTAGAATATATCGTATAATTTTGAGCTTTATTTCTTCGAAAAGGAATATTAATGTTAATTTCTCATTAATTATTTATTATGTAGTTATTAATTTTAATAATTTATAGAAAAACTTTAATTTAGCATTTTTTTCATCTTTATTTCTCAGTATTTATTCTTTAATTTATTTATCTGAATAAATTTTAAATTTTAAATTTAATATTTAATATATTATATAACATTCTTATATTTATAAAAAATTATATAAATTTAACAAGTTAACTTAATTATAAAAGGGTGTTCCATATGAGATGACGACATCTTAATTTTAAAATAGTAATAATAATTGTTGTTAATAATAACTATACAAATATTAAAGTGTTTAAATTTCAAAATTATATTAATTTTGCAAAAAAAAAAATTGTTAAAATTAATAAAAAAAATAATCAATTCTATAATCGTTCGAAATTGTTTGAATTCTGACGAAAAAAAGATCTCAAAAATTATACCTTTTGATAAAAATGAATTTAAATAATTATTTATTTTTAAAAAATACACTAAATCTGCAAAAAAAAATCGTCAAATCTAAATCTAATAAAAAAAAAAAAATACTAGTTTTGGATTACCCATAATTTGATTTTTGTATGATATTTCCGTAAATCTTAGAGACCCGGAAAAGTCATGCTGAAGTGCGTAGAACGGGCCAAAATAATTGATAATTCTAGTCAGAAAATCATTTCCTTCTTTAGATACTGGCTGGCATTATTATAATCCCGGCCCTGAAAGAGATGATAAATTTTTTGACCGTACCTTGCCGGAATTCTAGGGTCAATTTTATATATAGCCTTTATTTTTACATGATTAACCCATTTCTGCACCCGTAAATGTCAATATTTAGTTTATTTGTCAAATCTTATTTGAATTGTTGAATTGCGACCGATGTAACAGGGAAAATGAGATCGGCGACCTGGGTCACCATGTGACTCCTACATATCATATTTTCATTTTTTTCTTTCCAGTTCTACTGCTTTATATACAATATTGTATGCAACTTTTACAAACTTGTGACTTCTTATCTAATATGCAAAAACAGTAAAGAAAATAATCGTGAAAACATTTGGAATAAAGAATTTAATTTCGCAAAAAAAAACACGTAGAAATTTCTGAGTTCATCAATACTTAAACCATTTGTTGATAATGAAGATATCACTAGTTGTCATCCTTTGAATTTAGGAGATAATGGAGAATCTCAGAGTTCACATTTATAGAGACTTCACAACTATCTGATACTCCTACTCCCTTTTATTATTATTTAATTTTCGCAAAACAAATAATGAAAACAAAATTATCCCAGGTTTTCTACAAATATCTTGATATACCAAGATCGTTTTCACATGCTTCCAGCATTACTTTTACAACGACTGGATCTAAATATAATGCAAGCTTAAAAAGTATTTAATAAATGGGAAGCGCGAAATCATTACTTTCACTATGTTTCAAATTCTAGGTGTAAATAGAAATATGACAGATTAAAGAAATGGCAACGGAATAAATAAGAAAAGATATGAAATGAATAAAACAAAAGTCATTTCCCTATTATCAATTTTAGATACGCTAATCTATTTTAATGATTTTTGACTAATATTAAACAATTTTAATCATTTAAAGAATTTAAAATAATTATTAATTTCAAGAATTTTTTAATTACCTACAGTATATAAATCGAAGATAATATTTTTTTTTCGTAATATAAATTATCTCATTTTGTGGTCTTAACCACTACAGTCGTTGATATCGAGTAGTATGTAAATAATTTTGTAAAAAAAATTGTTTTTTGTGTAAAAGAATATAGCACTTCGTATTCAAATAACTGACAAGGTACCAATAAGATGATATTGTTCATCAAAAACCGTTATTGACGCATTACGGACATCTTACGGCACCTAGGATTGTATACGGTCCCCAATTTTAGCAATGTTCATAGAACAACCAAATTAAGAAGAAATTGAATATTTGTTTTTTAATACAAGTACAAATATGTATATATGTATGTCTATTTAACCTTCAACACCCACTAGCTGCTAGTGGTTAATTTTTTTTTGTTTTTATTAGATATTTTGAAAATCATATCTATTAATTTAAATGTTTTCATAGATTTTAATTATGACTAAAGTATAAATAGAAAATCAGTTACGAATTTACAGTAAGGAACTATTGTATTCTTGTTTCAATAAAATTTACGTTTAATAATTATTCACTAACCATCAAGATTTGTAAAAAGTGTAACCTCGCTCAAAAACTGTTTTTTTTTGGGGGGAATTTATTTCGTGCTTTATATTTCAATAAAATACGGTATATAAAATAGATAAACCTCAAACTATGGAAGAGTCATGCATGCATTATTCCAAATTTATTTTACCGGCTTCATATATAAATAAACAGTTAACGTGAATCTTGCGTTAAAACGTGTTTATGATTTATGAGTGAAAATAACTTCGCTGATAAAAATCTTGATCTAACTATAGCAGACAAAGATTGGTACAACATACTGTAGTCTTCGAAAAACTGACGATAAATTACAATAAGGGTTTTTAATAAAAAATGGTATTCATGGAGATGTCCAAACCTTTATGAGATTATTAATAATTTGCAGAGTGATATAAAATATAAATCACGACAAATCATTTTGTCACGGACTCTTGATAATCAATTTGATATGTTAAAGCCGCGGCTATTGCAGCACAATAAAAAATGCCTAATTTAATCTCTAATTATTTTAAAGGTTAAAAAAATTAAATTCGACAAATTACGCACTGAAAATATGTTAAAATTTTTGATATCTATATTTCAAATCGAAAGTATCAATTTTCTGGGAACATCGAAAATCCCATATTGGGATGTTGATGCAATGTACAAGATAATTTCCGACTTTTAAATGCGCACAATTAAATTTTAAAAAGTTTTTTTTTTTATTATTATTGGGTGTTACTTTAATTTTTTTATCAAAATTTATATATTTTTTTATTTGATATGATTTATAAGTTTCATGCTACTTCAGTATATTGAATTTGATTTATCGGGTTTTAAGTAGATTATTCAATTTTCAAATCGTATTAAATCGTTTTAAAAAAGTGTAAGTATTACAGTAAGAACTAAACTGGACTGATTATACCAAGTTCTGACTATATATTGTGTAAATCAAATATCCTGCCCAGAAAGACGAAATCACATAAAATATCTAAAAAGGGAATAATTCTTCATCTCTCGTTTCTAGAATCCATCCTAAATCAAGAAAAAAAGAAAGAAAAGTTATTGTATGTTAATTAAATTTAACAATGAAACAAAAATTACTTCAAAATAAAGTTGACCAAATATATTACTTCAAACCATTCCAAGAAGCTTTCTAAAAAGAGAATGAACGGAATGATGTAAATGTCATACTTAAAAAAGGAGGCAGAAGTTGAACGAACATAATTCAAAGAATCTATATGATAACTCGTTCCTAAAAAAAGGAATAACGAAAACAAAGTCAATGTCATCCTTAAAATAAATAAAATAAACGTGAAAATAGAACGAATATGATACACAAACTCGCCCAATAAATCGTAGAATTCGTCATTAGAAAAAAATAAATGAAAACGTCCTATGAATGTTCTAGGACTGAACCAAAACTGAACTTATTTTAACATCCCTTCACCAAAATTAAGAGTAAATGTATGGTAACTTCTTGCGAAGTTAATTTAGAGATGAATAAAATCAATCCAAAATTCGAAAAATTATAGAGACCTTTAATTTACATGAATACAAAAAAAACTAGAGTTGTCGCACGATGTACGGTGATGGTGTGTAACATAACCAGTTGTGAGCTGATCAAAGTTTCATAATTACGTAATAACCTGCATCATATTAGAAAAGTTCTAGACCGGTCTTCTTATTTAGGTAAACCGTCTCTCGTTATGAGACTTTTCTAGATATGTATGCTGGAAATTGGAAAAGGATATTAATGAAACTTATTTTATAATAATATTAAAAGTATAATATTAAATACTTTTTTGTAAATAAAAATGTTACGCAAACTTTTTGAGTAAACTATTTTTATAACAGTGAAGAAAGTTGCATATTTGGGTTTCACATCATTCTATCGAGATTGATACTTTGTATCGTTTTTTTTCCTTCCTTTTTTATAGTGAGTTTGGTTCTTTGTTTCCTATTATGATTTTTATATCTAACCTTGTTTGGTTTTAGTTTTATTTAAAATGAGATGTATTACAATGCATTAGAGATTGTAGGTGTTGTATACGTTTGACAGTTTTACTGCTTTATTTATACTATTGTACGTCACG